GAGCAGAATCAGAAGAACATCATACACAGTAACAGCCACGCTGTGCGATGACTAATATTAATAGACTTAGCTCTTCTCAGCAATACGAGGATCTAAGACATCTCCAAAGGCCTCATGATGGAAAATGCTATCCACATCCAAAGAAAGAACTATGGAGTTTGAATACAGATCGAACCATACTATTTGCTATTTTTTTCTTCTGTTGTGTTTTGTTTCCTCTTTTTGGTGGTTCCTCCTATTGGTTCTAATTCTTCCTTACAACATCACTAATGTGAAAATATGTTTAATAGGAATGTATATGTATAGCCTCGATCAGAATGTGTGCTGTCTTGGAGAGGAAGGTGGGGTGGGAGGGGGAGAAAAATTTAAAGTCCCTGCTTTCAAGGAGCTCATAGTTTAATGGCAGAGACAACATGCAAACAATTCTGCACAAATGATATATACAAGATAAATTGAAGAGAATCCAATTTTAAGGTGAGAATGATGAAGGAAGATGGACAGAAGTAAGAAATATAGTTCCATGCTGGGTACAAAGTATATGGTAAATAAATAATTTGCAAAGAAAAATTAGCTTGCAATGGCCTATATCTTAAGATATGGCACAAAAAATATACCTTCTCCTGATTACAATATTGTTCTTTCTCTAAGTGTAGAACAGTACTTGAAAATGCACAAGCAGTTGGATTCTAATATTTTACTACCCTCTGATACTCAAATCAGCACATTTTGCATTAGATCTACTGATTTTAGAAATTTCTTGGGGGCAGCTAGGTGGCACAGTGGATAAAGCTCTGGCCTTGGAGTCAGGAAGACCTGAGTTCAAATGTGCCTTCAGACACTTGACATTTACTAGCTGTGTGACCTTGAGCAAGTCACTTAACCCCAATTGCCTCATGAAAAAAAGAAATCTCTTCTCTTTTTCTCTGCTCTATCCCTATACTCAAATAGGGAAGAGTTTAACATAAACTGTTTTTCCTCTTCATTACAATGTAAGATAGCACAGACAAATCTGGGATAATTTACTTTGTACTAATAATGAACTGGTGGAGTACTTACCAGTTATTGCTACCAGTTCCCAAACCAAGTTCTCATAATTAAATCGCATAAAAAAGGAAGTGTTGCAAATGAGTCTAACACGTTTTTTCTTTTAACAGAAAGTGCTTGCTTGGTCCAGTGAAAATGACAAACAGAAAGCCTGTTGTTGTAACAGCAGGTCAAACATCAAATTGTCTCTGGTTCCAAACATCCTGGAGAGATTGTAATTCCCTTCTCCTATTCATCCCTACCCTATAACAAGCCTGAAATGACTAGAAGTAAAGCTGAAAGCAGGCTAAACTCCTAAAAGAGTAGACAGAATAACCTGCTGTCCCTAGTATCCTTGAGAATGGGGATTATCTAGGGTGATTCTGGCCTTGGGCAGCTATCCAGCCTGGTACAATGAGCTGCTCGTTGGATGGTGAGTCCAAATTGTATCAAATATTTTAGACTGCTTTTTTTTTTTAACCAGCCCTCAGTCTTAACATGGGACTTCTGAAAAGTAACTTAAGTTATTTAAGATCTGTGTTTCAGTTTCCTCATTCGTCAAACGAAATATTTATTGTTTACCCATGTCACACAGATTTTAAAAAGAATAGTAATAATAATAACTAGTTAACTAGTAACTGTCTCCTTTTGGATAAAGATTCTCTGAAAGTAATAACATTGGTCTTAGAGTTTGGCATAGAAGCAAGGATAATCAACTCATCTATTATAGGGAAACCCCAAGAAAGGAGAGTTTCCCTTTCTGGAGGACTTTAGTTTGCTAAAGATGACATTCAGAAATCCTGAAAGTCTTGCTCAGAATTCCAGTGTAAATTTTATTGAGATTTGGTCTTTAGATATTGACTCATTTATACAGAACTAGTCAAGAGAGTATTAGGATATTTTTCATAACAATTTGAGAACTCTGTATTATCTTTACTGATCTCTTGGAACTAAGCCCTAATTTTTGTTTTCACTTTTAAAAATTCATGCATTTATTTATTTTTAATTTTCAACATTCACTCTTATAAGATTTTGACTTTTAAATTTTTTCACCCTCCCTCTCCTCCCCAAGATGGCATGCAATCTGATATAGGTCATACATGTACAATCATATTAAACATATTTCAACATTAGTCATGTTGTAAAGAAGAATTAAAACCAAAGGGAAAAGCCACGAGAAAAGAAAAAACAAAAAAAGGAAAAATAGTATGCTTGGATTTGCATTCAGACTCCATAATTCTTTCTCTGGATGTGGATAGCATTTCCCATCATGAGTCTTTTGGAATTAATTGTTGCTGAGAAGAGCTAAGTCTATCAAAGTTGATCATCATATAATGTTTCTGTTAATGTGTACAATGTTTTCCTGGTTCTGCTTCCTCCACTCAGCATCAGTTCATGTAAGTCTTTCCAAGTTTTTCTGAAGTCTGCCTGCTCATTATTTCTTGTGGAACAATAGTATTCCATTACATTCACATACCACAACTTGTTCAGCCATTCCCCAATTGATAGGCATCCCCTCAATTTCCAATTCTTTGTAACCACAAAAAAGCTGCTTTAAATATTTTTGTATATGTGGGTCCTTTTCCCATTTGTATGATCTGTTTGGGATATAGACCTAGAAATGGTATTGTTGGGTCAAAGAGTATGCACACTTTTATAGCCCCTTGGGCATAGTTCCAAATTTCTCCCCAAATGGCTGGATCAGTTCACAACTGATATTCCAATTTTCCCACATCTTCTCTGACATTTATCATTTTCCTGTTTTGTCATGTTAGCCACTCTGGGTTTTTTTTTTGGGGGGGTGTTAGGCAATGGGATTAAGTGACTTGCCCAGGGTCACACAGCTAGTAAGTGTCAAGTGCTTGGTCTGAGGTCACATTTGAACTCAGGTCCTCCTGACTCCAGGGCCAATGCTCTATCCATTGCAGCCACCTAGCTGCCCTGTGTTAGCCACTCTAATAGATGTGACGTGGTACCTCAGAGTTGTTTTGATTTACATTTCTCTAATCAATAGTGATTTAGAGCATTTTTTCATATGGCTATAGATAGCTTTAATTTCTTCCTATGAAAACTGCCTATTCATATCCTTTGACCGTATATCAACTGGGGAATGACTTGTATTCTTATAAATTTGACTCAGTTCTCTATATATTTTAGAAATGAGGCCTTTATCAGATACTGGCTACAAAAATTGTTTCCCAGGTTTCTGCTTCCCTTCTAATCTTGGTTACATTGGCTTTGTTTGTACAAAAACTTTTATATAATATAATCAAAATTATCCATTTTGTATTTAATAATGTGTACTATCTCTTGTTTGGTCATGAATTCTTCCCTTCGCCATAGATCTGACAGGTAAACTATTCCTTTCTCTCCTAGTTTGCTTATAGTATCAACTTTTATATCTAAATCATGTACCCATTTTGACTTTATCTTGATATAGGGTGTAAGATGTTGATCTATGCCTACTTTCTGCCATACTATTTTCCAGTTTTCCCGGCAGTTTTTGTTAAATAGTGAATTCTTATCCCAGAAGCTGGAGTCTTTGGATTTATCAAACAGTAGATTATTATAGATATTGATTATTGTGTTTTGTGTACTTACCCTATTCCACTGATCTACCATTTTATTTCTTAGTCATACCAAGCAGTTTTGATGATTGCTGCTTTATAATACAATTTAAGATCTGGTATGGCTAAGCCACCTTCCCTTGCATTTCTTTTCATTAATTCCCTTGATAGTCTGGACTTTTTGTTCTTCTAGATGAATTTTGTTATTATTTTTTCTGGCTCTATGAAATAATTTTTGGTAGTTTGATTGGTATGTAGTTGTTTTTTTAAATGACACCATAGACTTGCTGGACATTTGACACAAAAAGTTATTTATCTTGATACTGTTGTGAGGACTATGAGCAGCTAACTGCAACAGATAGGCCATAATGACTCTTGGCATTTCCATAGAACATTGGATTTCTAAAAGGGCATACCTTTGGAATGGTATAGAATTATCGGCAGACTTCAGAAAAGCCCGGAAAGGCTTAAATGAACTGATGCTGAGTCAAATGAGCAGAACCAGGAGAACACTGTACACAGTAACTGCCACATTGTGTGATGATTGACTTTGATAGACTTAGCTCTTCTCAGCAGTGCAAGAATCTAAGACAGCTCCAAAAGACTTATGATGGAAAATGCTACCCACATCCAGAGAAAGAACTTTGGAGTCTGAATGCAGATGGAAGCATACTATTTGCTCTCCTTTTCTTTCGTTGTTTTGTTTTGATTCTTCTTTTTCCTGGCTCTACTCATTAATTTTAATTCTTCTTTATGTCATGACTAATGTGAAAATATGTTTAATATGAATGTGTAAATAGAGCCTATATCATATTGCATGCCATCTGGAGGAATGGGGAAGAGAGGAAGGAGAAGAAAATTTAAAACTCAAAATTTTATGGAAGTGAATGTTGAAAACTAAAAATAAATTTAAAAAATTTTTTTTAAATTATCATGACTTTAGAAATGAAGATAACATAATTGGAGAATAATTTGTTGTTGTTGTTGTTGTTGTCAAGTTTTTTCAATTGTGTCTGACTCTTTGTGACCCCATTTGGGGTTTTCTTGGCAAAGATGCTGTTGTGGTTTGCCATTTCTTTCTTCAGCTCATTTTACAGATTAAGAATTGAGACAAACAGGGTTAAGTGACTTGTCCAGGGTCACACAGTCAGTAAGTGTCTGAGGTCAAATTTGAACTCAGGTCCTCCTGATTCCATCCACTGTGCCACCTATCTGCCCATATAATTAGATAGTAAAATAACCTAGTTTTCATGATGCTCCTATTAGTGTCCTCCTTTTTTAGTATGTAGACAGGATGTTGTGGAGTTCAAGTTAGATAACAAATGTAAATCATTTTGTGAACCTTGAAGCACTATGTAAGTGCCAGTTATTATATCATTGACATTATTGTTAATTGTTTTTATTATTAAGCTCCAGTTACTAGGCTTCCATTCCGATGATGACTTCATTCTCCGAGCCTTCTCCTGTACTCCTGCTGAACTCAAGCAAGATTTATAGAGCAGTACAAGGGTATGTTGGTACATGCTTAATAACTGGGCTCTCTGGGGTAAAAAAAATGTATGCACAAACTTTTAGTTTAATCTGCATTATTAACACTTTCTTAAGACAAGCCAATCAAGAAAACAATAAATCAACCCTTAATTTGTAGTGATTACAGGTTTTGGAAGTATAAATTTTCACAATGAAGATTTAATAAGTGCTCTCACAATTAACTTAGAGTTGGCTCCAATACAGCCCTTTCATCCTTCCCTTTGTATTTATTTTGTATTTATTCTGTATGTAGTTACCTATTTACATGTTGTTTCCTCAGATAGACTGTAAGCTCCCTGAGAGAGAACTTGTCTTTTTTTTTGTCCTTATATCTCAAGTACCTGTCCACAGTAGGTGGTTAATAAATACTGATTGATTGATGTCAAAAACCAAAGTCCAACACAGCTGATGTGTAGTTGGTTTTACTTAACATTTTTCCCTTTTCAAATCTTTGTCTTAATAAGGGAAGATTTTGCTGTAAAAACAAAAGGCCTCAATTGAAAAAGATAATGTGAACAGAAATAAAATGAATTGCGTTGTGTTAACAATCTAAAGGCGAATGGTAGGGGAAAAAACTTTGCTGTAAGGATGCAGTACCATTCAATTCACATTTGGTGAGCATCCCTTATGCATGGTACATTCCAGTGTGGTTTAAATGAAAAAGCTGACCATACATTTTGATGAACTCTAAAATACAGGAGGGAATTCCCATGAAGAAGCACATATTACATTCAGTTCATCAGACAAGATTAAGTGCCTGCTGTTTGAGAGACCACTGTTTTAGGTTCTGAGAAAACAAAAATAATAGGAATATCTGCCCTAAGGAGTTTGCAATGTAATAGAACTTTGTTCATGATAGCAAGCTGAATTTAATTCAGAGGAGGAAGAGATCACTTCTGTCTAGGAGATTAGGAAAAGCTCCATGGAGGTGGTGGCTTCTAAGTTAAGTCTTAAAGTGAAGGAACAATTTCAGTAAATAGAAATAGGAGTTGGGGGATGGTTGGGAGGTGACATAGAATTTCTTTTCATAGTTTATAATCAGTATTGTGATGCAACTGCCTGTATTCTTTATGTATTTATGTAGTATGTGTTCTTTACATGCCTCTTGTTATTCACTTGTGTTGGACTCTTTGTGACCCCGTGGACCATAGCACTCCAATACTGTCCATGGGTGGGGTTTTCTTGGCAAAGATACTGAAGTGGTTTGCTATTTCCTTCTCCACCGGATTAAGGCTAACAGAGATTAAGCAACTTGCCCAGGGTCACAGTGTCTGAGGTCACATTTGAACTCAGGTCCTCCTTGGTCCAGTCCCAGCTTTGTATCTACTCAGCCACCTAGCTGCTTTTAAGGACCTCAACACTAGGTATAATTAGGAGTCAGTAGTATCCAGTGTTAAACCAAAAGTCTCTGATACTCAAAAGAAATGAGAACTAAAAGAATTACATAGACTTCTCCTTTCCTCTTTCTTTCTTTTTTCTTTTCTTTCTTTCTTTCTTGCTTGCTTTCTCTTTCTTTTCTTTCTCTTTCCTTTCTTTCTTTCTTTCTTTCTTTCTTTCTTTCTTTCTTTCTTTCTTTCTTTCTTTCTTTCTTTCTTTCTTTCTTTCTTTCTTCCTTGCTCTATTTTTTTGTGAGACAGGATACAACTGAGTAAGAGTTTAAGTGGAGCCTCTCCTGCCCAAGTCTTCTGGCCTTGAACCACTTATCAGGAGCTAACACTTACACAAGAAACAGCCTGTTTAGGAAGAATGTGCCTTCTTCCACTGCTACAATTCAATAAAACCAATACATCATGATACATCAGAGGATCTCTCTGCCAAGGGAAAATCATGGGAAAGAGGAAAGAGCGAAGATGTTGAACTCTGGTGCCTTGCAACAGGAAGCTGAGCATCATTAATGGCATCATTATTATCATTATCATTCTTACCCATTGTGGGATCATTAGACTCAGAGCATAGATTTGGACTTGAAAAGGGACCTTGCTAGAACAACCACCTCTTTTACAGATGAGGCCTGGAGGGTGGCTTGCCTGTGGTCATTGGGTCACACGGTTCTAAGTGTAAGTGTAAGCTCTGGGATCTGACTCAAAATCGAGTGTTCTTTTTGTCATAATTAATTACTATTGGTAGTTCTTTAAAAGTATTTTAAGAAAAAATCCAGTGTTAAGCACATTAATTTAGGCTATCAGGATCTCTATTTTTGTGTGTGTTAAATTGATGCATTTGTGTTGTTTTTATGCACAATAAGGTGCCAGAATTCATTCAATAGTTGGAGCAAGAAAGAACGAGGATTCCTGAATCATACAAAAATTCAGTTTCATTTGTTCACAATAGATGAATAAAACAACTAACAAACTTTCAGATTATATAAATCTTTACCTTGAAAAAACGTAACCAAGGAAAAACCCAAAAATTTTTTTTTAAAATGTGCCTTTTTAATCCCTTGCATATTGTTGTTTTAGATATTGTTAAGAATACACTGGAAGTCCTGACAAAGACTATTTTTTAAATTAGCACAGACAGGAAATATTGCAGTATGATATTGTTATCATCTGGCACACTCCCTCTTTGGTAGGGGCCATGGGGGGACAAAAAGAATAATATGCTAGATAAGGCATTTGATGACATCAGTTCTAACTTTCTGCCACAGATGTCTTAGTCTAGATTAGTCATAAAACAGGCAGTTCCAAAATATTCTATAAATGATCAATATAAATTCGAGTTAAAATACTTAAACACTAGTGGTTTTCTCATGTTTTTGTAAAAGGCTATATGACTCTGGGAATATCTTAACATCTCTAGACTTCAGTTTTCCCACCTTTAAAATGAGGGGGTTGAATCAGATGATTTCTAAGGTCTCTTCCAGCTCTAAAATTGTTTGATTATATGAATTCTCACCCATTGTGGGATCACCAAGTATGAAAAAACTTCCTGAGACAGGAGCTTACCACTTACATGTAAAGTTAGGGATGCTGATAGAAAATGATGCAGCAGCATCATTCATTAATGTTTATTAAGGACCCTATAACAAGTATACTATAACAAATATTATGGGCTTCCTTTTCTCTCCTTAATTTCATGCATGTTAATTAATTTTAGCCAGGTTTAGTCAATAAAAAGCTTTATGGTATGGCTTAACATGTTGCTAGTTTCACGTATTTGAAACTGACATTTTCTATAGGAATGGCAATAGTTTTTATATTTTAATATGGTTTACTACGTGGGGTATCTAGGTGGCACAGTAGATAGAGCATTGGGCCTGCAGTCAGGAAGACTGAATTCAAATCCACACACAGTCACTTATTAGCTATGTGACCCTGGGCAAGTCACTTAATTTATTGGCCTCAGTTTCCTCATCTGTAAAACAGGGCTAACAACAGAACCTACCTTCCAGGGCTGTTGTGAGGATCAAATGAGATAATAATTGTAAAGCACTTAGCACAGTGTCTGGCACCTAGTAAGTGCTAAATAAATGTTAGCTATTATTATGCTATTATTCTTCCTACAATATGCAACATGACTCCCTTATTCAACCAACTCCAATGATTCCCTATTGCCCCATAGGATAAAACTACTCCATTTAGCTTTTAAAGCTCTTCACAATCTAGCCCTAACTTCCTTGAATCTTCATGGGACTTTACTGCCCCTCCCTCATTCTACAATCCAGCCAAACTGCATCTCTCTGTTCTTCACTTATGATACTCTTAACTCCAGGCCCTGTGCCTTTGTACTGGCCATGTCCCATGCTGGAAATACTCTCCCTACTTACCTATGCCTCATAGACTCCTTTTCTTCCTTTAAAATGAAGGTCAAGTACATCTCCAAAGGCTTCATGATGGAAAATTCTATCTACATCCAAAGAAAGAACTATGGAGTTTGAATACAGATCGAACCATACTATTTGCTATTTTTTTTCTTCTGTTGTGTTTTGTTTCCTCTTTCTGGTGGTTCTTCCTATTGGTTCTAAATTCTTACTTACAACATTACTAATGTGAAAATATATTTAATAGGAAAAATTTTTTTTTAAAGAATAAAATAAAGAAAACTTAAAAAAAATAAAAATGTGATCAAAATAATGCTTAAGGATTAAGACTCTTGCTGCTATATATAATACATATAAAAGACAGGAAAAAACTAGGCTTCCTAGAAAGCTAAAGCTATAATCTATGTGAATGAATGAATGAAAAAAGCATTTATTAGTTGTGTACCATGTGCAAAACACTGGGGATACATATAGGAAAGAAGACAGTCCCTATTCTCAAAGAACTCATGTTCTAATAGGGGAGACAACACACATGGAAGATTTCAGCTGCAAGTCTGAGGGGAAAGGTCCCATAGTCCTTAGGATATAGCAGCAAAGCAGAAGGTAATGCCTCTTATTTGATGTCATTTCCATTAATTAAATTATATCAATTTCTGATGTTGAACCATTTGACATTGCCAAGGACTTTGGTGACAAGAACTTTCTTTTTCTGGGTCTTCATTAGATGTGGCTGTTAACACTTACAGTAGCAGTTGCTAGGCTGCCTTTCCACAGGAATTTCTTCTCAGAGTGATGGTGGTAAAAGCACTGCTATCCCTAAGACTCTTGGGTTTAGGGTCCTGGGCTGTCTCCATCAGGGTCATAGAAGAGGTGGTGGTTTGACTTAATTGGTCTAAGAAGCGCCGATATAGGGCTATGGTTATAGAAATAGAGGAAGGGATACCTTGATACTTTGATAGATTTGTGATCTTATCAACATGGCTACTCTATCTGCTGATGCAGCCTACAATCCAAACCTTCTTATCCTAGGTATTTCTTGTCCTCTTATTCTTCCTCTGTATGCCTACCCGCAAATCCTCCAAAAAGGATCTACCCAACGTACTGAAGGACTTCCTTAAAGTCTTTTGAGTATTCTATGTACAGTATAGCAATGCAACCCTTGTTTTTGTTCTTGCTTCATGACTGGTCCATATGTTTTATGATTGTGTATTTCCTGAATGATATTCCTCTTCCCTCCTCCCACCCCCCTCCCCCAGAAGACTGGGTCTCCAGTCATCCTGATCTATATCTTGCCACTGAACCCAGATGGCTCCAGAGGAGAGAGTGAGACTGGTGACTTTGCACAGCCCTGTCTCACTTAAATCCAATTCACTTGCAAGTCATGACATCTACTTCCTGATGTCATGGTGCTCTTCAAGAATGAACGACAAGGGGCAGCTACGTGGTGCAGTGGATAAAGCACTGGCCCTGAAGTCAGGAAGATCTGAGTTCAAATCAGGCCTCAGACAAACACTTGACACTTACTAGCTGTGTGACCCTGGGCAAGTCACTTAACCCCAGTTGCCTTAAAAAAAAAAAAGAATGAAGGATAAACAAGACTATTTTAACCAGGCTGTTAGTGCAGCAGCCACTCATAGGTCTTATCCCAATGCCGATTATTATGGAAGTTTTAACCTGTTTTGTTTTTCTGGCTTGGGCCAGTTAGCCCCTCTTTAGGGAACCTGGTGGTCCTTAGCCCCCAGGGGTTTACCACATTAGTGCTGGACTTAGTGCAGAAACCCAACTGATTTTAGCTCTGCTTCAATTTAGAATTCTCCTGTTGAATCTGCCAATCTCAGGGATTATACAGCAGCATGCCCAGATCTGGATGCTATCTTTTATACATCTTACGTGTGTAACAGCAGGGATCACTGAATAGAGAGGTTTAGGGTAAAAAGAAAACTGAAAATTAAAACCACTCCTCTTTCTCTCTCTTTTCCTTCCCAAAGCCGACTATGAGTCAGTAATGAAAGTTAGGTTTTGTAGTCTTTGGGGGGTGAAAGGTCCTCTTTTATAAAGTTCTGCTTTGTGGAGCTTATGAGGTTATAACAAGAATACATGATTAATGACTCATAAAATATTCCCCTGTTAGAGATCTTCTAATAATGGGCCAGGGATTGGGCCCTCAGGCCTAAACTAGGAAGAAATGTTCCTAATCAGTTTCCTCCAGAAGGGACAGAACTACCAGAGCTGCCCCACCACACACTCAAGACTGAAAATAAATGGACTCAAGGAAATACATAATTGGGTGAACAGCAAATGTTTATAAGTAAAACTAGGTCAGTAAAGGGAAAAAAAACCCACCAAAAATAAAGAAATAAGCTCATAAATGGGCACCAGTCACACCCAGCTGAGGCAGGATAAGGGGAGGGGATAAAGGAAGGCTTCATTTTCATATTCCTCACATCTGCTTTTATCAGAGCTCCAACCACACCAGCAAGTCTCTCTGGTCACCCCCATTGTTTTTACTTCTTTGCCTCTTGGGCTTGGAAAAGGAAACTATCAGCCACTGTCTTTGGCTCTGCTGCTGTTAAATTGTTCCCAAGTCTTTTCTCATCCACTTTCCCTTGATGCCAGCACTGGGAAAGGGAAGAAGGAGCCGCCTTTCTTTACCTTCTTTTTCTTTCCAGACTCCTTTTCCACAGGTCTCTCCTCCAAGTCCTGCCCCTGTCTCAAAATCATGTCATTATTTTCTTGGTTGGAGAAATGAATGAAAACTCAAGTTTCAGAAGTCTGTGAGGGTCCAGGCTATTTCTACCTGCAGGAGATCAGAATCTGATCCCCTGCTTTCAAGAGGTCTGCTTTATGAGTAGTCATTGCTGTTGGTAATATGTTGCAACCTACTTAGATCCACCATGCATCTTTCCACTGTATTTTGAGTTCCCCATGATTTTGAGTCCTTGGAGATTATGGTGCCCCGTCATTTACAACCATATAGTATCAACTGAGAAATATTGATGTTAAAAAGACAGGTCTTTGTTTCAGAGAAAAATGTTTCTGAGACAGAGCAATCAGTAGAATTGCTTTGCAATCTAATCAGTAGAACTTCATAATATATTGGATATAAAAGTAAAGGAGATCAAAGAATCAAGGAAGGAAAGGACTGAAGAAGGACTGGAGGATAGAGAAGATGATTTACATTCCTATTGCATGTTAAAATTCTCACAGCAATTTCCTCACAAGATCCTGTGAGGATATATATGTAATCACAGTGTTATATATAACATTGTGTTATATGTGTGTGCTATTATCCCCATTTTACAGCTGAGAAAACTGAGGCTTGAAGTGCTTAAGTTTTCTGCTTTAAAGGCAGCATGGCATCAGTGCATAGCATAGTATGGAGGCAAGAACCTGGGTTCTGAATCTATGATCCTGGGATTCCAAGACCTTGTTTTGTTTTGTTTTTTTTCCAAAAACACCTTATGACCTTCTAAAATGGTAGTTAGCACAGTGTATGGCACACATAAATGCTTAATGACTTATTGACTGTTTTGGATAAAGGCATAAGCCTAGGAAAAATTAATTAGATCAGTTTTTAACAGATTATGTTAATTCCACTTTAGTTAGACTGGCCTTGTAGGACCTTTGACCAGGATTAGCATTCAAAAATGCTAATGAAAAATGAACTTTGGTTCATGAGAAAATAGTGGAAATAATGTTTTAGACATTTGTCAAATATGAGAAAAAGTAGACAGCTCCTGAGCTTTTGCAGAGAAGTTATCAGGAAGAGCCTAAAGCAGTTTCAGGATGTATAGCAGGATCTGTGCTGAAACATGTTTTTTTGCTGGTGGCTCAGTTTCACCCATGAGCAATGTATGGGAGTTTCATGCTCTCTTGTGTAATTGAAGCTTGGTTCTGACCTGACAGCTTACTCTATCCTTTGTTCTATGTTGGCCCAAACACTTGGATCAATTTGTAAAGATGGAGGAGACCTCAGAGCTTAGTTAGTCCACCTTTCTCATTCTGCACACAAGGAAACTGAAACCCAGAGAGATTAAGAGACTTGTCCATGGTCACACAGTTATTAAATGGAAGAGCTGGGATTTTAACCCTGGTCCTTTCACTCCAAATCTAACACATTTTCCCATCCTGCTCCATGACTTTCTGGTACAAGGATGATCCCAATTTGATATAATTTAGCTCTCTCTAATCAAAATATTGCTGCCAGAGATTCGTAGACTTAAATGCTTAAAGGATAAACATTATGCTCCAACAAATATCATTTGATCAACAAGTATTTATGTAGCACTTGCAATGTGCCAGGCACTGGCTAAGCTAAGCCTTGGGGATACAAAGGAAAAAAAAAACAAAAACAACTTCTGCCTTCAAAAAGCTTAAATTCAAATGAGAAGAAATATACATAAATTGATTGGTAAATACAAAATAAATGGGGAGTAGATAGAAAGTGATCTTAGAATCCCAGCTGGTGGGACTTGGGAAAGGCT